GTAAGTGCACCATGCTAATTTTTTTCACAGCAACATGTAAAAAAATTAGCATAGCAGCACTTATGAAATACCTCGCAGGGGAAGGGCACAGTTGGCAAACAAATGCAGAAGGCATGCATTATTTGCATACAAATATGGTAGTATCTATTTATTTATATGATTGAGGGGAGAATTATCATGTTTAGTTATTTAACCCCATTTTTCAGATGAGGAATGTGGCACAGAGAGATTAATATCTGCTTTGTGTGGTTGAGGGGAGGATTATAATATTTATTAAAATACTTTGCACATTGTAGGCATAGAATATTAGTTCTCTTCCTCTCTTTCTACTATACTATATGCTACCTTTTCTTTTTTTAATCAGTGGAGATTTCTTTTGTTCATCTTTCCCAGGGATTTTGTCCCGAGTCTTACCTATTTTCTGAAATAAGCCATCCTTATGATACCAACAGTGACTCTGTTTCCATTTGGCTGTGTTCTTTCTAGTGGCTGAGTAGTTGGAATCCCTTTGGTACCTATTTTCTTCAGATAAGCAGTCATTCTGGCACTAAACCTGCAACTGGCATTTTAAAAATAGGCATCTGCACCTAGGGCTCCTCTTTTCCCAGGACAAAAGAAGAGCTAGGAGCTTAAGGTAAAACTGCAATGAATAGTATAATATTCCTTGGAGGCTGAATGCATTATTGAGGAAGAAATCTCTATTATTTAGATGTTTAAGAATATGGTTGTATGACAACTTGTTTTAGGTTTCCTGATCAAAATCTGTTGTTCAAAGAAAGGTAATACCAGTTCAACAGAATCTAGGCTGATTACAAAGAGTGATTTTTGTTTGGAGTAATTAAAATATCTTACCCAGCATGCATTCGCTGCTTCTAAAAGATCTGAAATTCATTACAAATATGGACCCTTCCTTTATTCCTCAAGCAGTTAGTGAGCATTATGTGAAAATTGAATATAAGTTAGTGTAATTGTCCCAGATGTGGAATTCACTGTTTGGGTTTTGCTTATTGCAGTAACATACGTTAACACTATTTAGTTAAATGATTGTCACCTTATTGTTCCTTATTGTTAAGGATACAGAAGATGAGCGGCACCTGCTCTGAGGGTCACCCTACACAAAGGAGACCATTTGTTTTTAGATTTGATATTGGCAGTGTTTTCCCTTAAAGCACTCAGATTCAGGAAATTAAATCCTGTTGGCGTTATTTTTTGCATGGGAAACAATTGGAGAGTTCAGTGGGTGTGGCAGAGGAAAAACAAGTTGAAATTAATTGTCAAGATTTTAATAGCTGTGATATACAAGAAAAATCTGAGGCTTTGTAACATGGGACAGTTCACTTATTTTCTCAGAGCTTAAGTGTCCTCTCCTATAAAATGTGCACAGTAATATATACCAAAGTTATTATGAGGAGGAAGGGAAGTGAATTAACTGAAACTGCTTAGTAACTGAAAATACTATGCAAATTAATGTTGGCCTGTTTTAAACCCGTCTTTAAAGTTAGGATGATTTTCTCATTCATGAGTAGTAAGACCAAAAATGGATAAAATTTTCAAAGAGTATTTAGATACTTTGCCTTTCATCTTTTTTTTTGCTTTTAAAAATTAACTTTATTGGAGACTGGAGAAACCCCGAGAGTGTGGCCCCCAGACACCCTTTTGGCTTGGTGGTGGGGTCACTTCTGAGGTTCACCATTCAGCCGGGGAGTGGACAGCCCCATAAAACCAAATGGGACTGATGAGGCACAGCAGTCCAGGGACAGGGACTAGAAGGCAGAGGGGGACGGGAAAGCTGGTGATAGGGAGCCCAAGGTTGAGTAAGGATAGTGTTGATGTGTTGTGAGGTTGACGATTGTCATAGGGCAACATGTGTACTGTTTAATGAGAAACTATTTTGTTCTGTAAACCTTCATCTAGAGTGAGAATAGCAGCACAATTGTAAGAGCATAGTCAATGTCACTGAACTATGCATATAGAAATTTTTGAAATGGTGTATCTTTGGCTATGTATATTTTCACCAAAAAAAAAAGAAGGTCAAGAAGGGAGAGGGTTGACATGTCATGGGGTTGTTGACCAATGTCGTGGAACAGTGTGTGTGCTACTGTTTCATGGGAATCTATTTGTTCTGTAAACTTCCACCTGAAGTACAATAAAAAATTTTTAAAAAATATATATATTTGGTACACACATTTGGCCTTGTGGAAACAGTTGCTTCTTATTGAAAATTAATTATTGAGGTACACTTCATTTATGTTACCCACTCTATTAAACAAACAAAAAAGTCAATAAAAAATTTTTAATAAAAAATTAACTTTATTGAGGTATAATTTACATACAATAAAATATACCCATTTTAAGAGTATAGTCAGTTAATTTTGACAAATGTATACATCCATGTAATGACCACCCCAGTCAAGACATATAATATTTTTATCACCCCAGAAATATCCCTCATGCCCCTTGTGGTCAATTCTCACACTCCTGGTCCTAGGAGAGACTAGTTTTGCCTGTTCTTGAATTTCATATAAATGAAATATACTCTTTTGTTTCTGCATAATGTTTTTGAGATATATCCATGTTGTTGTTCATATCATTTGTTTATTACTTTTAATTGCTGGTAATATCCCATTGTATGAATATATCATAATTTGTTTATGCATCCACCTGTTGATGGTCATTTGGGTTGTTTGCAGTTTGGGCTTATTATGAATAACCAAACCACCAAACTCGTTGCCATCGAATCAATTCCGACTCATAGTGACCCTATACGACAGGGTAGAACTGTCCCATAGGGTTTCCAAGGAGCGGCTGGTGGATTTGAACTGCCAACCTTTTGGTTAGCAGTCAAGCTCTTAACCACTGTGCCATAAAGATGCTGTGAATATTCATGTAAAAGTATTTGCGTGAGCATATGTTTTCCTTTCGTGTAAAATACGTAGGAGTGGAATTGCTAGGTCATATGATAATCATGTTTAATTTTATAAGAAACTGCAATCATATGTTAATTTTATAAAAAACTGCCTTACTGTTTTCAAAAGTAAGTTGTGCCATTTTACACTTCTACCAGCAATACTCCAGTACTTGGTCCTGCCATTTCTTTTCATTTTAGCCATTCTAATGGGTGTATAGTGGTATCTCATTGTGTTTTAATTTGCATTTTCCTGATGACTAATGATGATGTACATCTTTTCACATGCTTTACTGTGCTTATTGACTATTCACAAATCTTCTTTTGGGAAGCGTCTGTTCACATATCTTACTCATATTTTAATTGTGTTGTTTGCCTTATCATTTGGTTGTAAGAGTTCTTTATATAATCTGGATTTAGGCCCTTGTCAGATATATGTATTGTGAATATTTCTCCCAGACTGTGGCTTGTCATTTCATTCTTTAAAACAAAATCTTTAGATGAGCAGAAGGTTTTAATTTTGATGAAGTTCAGTTTATCAGTTTTTTTCCTTTATGATTAGTGCTTTTGTGTCCTAAGAAGTCTTTTCCTTCCTCAAAGTCATGAAGATTTTCTTCTTTTTTTTTTTTTTCTAGAAGGTTTATAGTTTTAGGTGTTATGTTTAGGTTTGTGATCCATTTCCAGTTAATTTTTTAAATGGTGTAAGGTAAGAATTGAGTTTCATTTTTTCCATATGAATATCCATTGGTTGCAGTGTTATTGAAAAGATTATTCTTTCCGTATTGAATTACCTTGCCAGCTCTGTGGAAATCAATTGGCTATGTAAGTGTGGGTTTATTTATGGACTCTTTGTGCTCTTCCACTAATCCATCTGTCTGTCCTTTCACTAATACACACTGTCTTAGTATAATAAATCTTGCTGTGGGGCAAGGTGGCTCAGAATGCAGTTAGGGTAAAGGGAAAGTTAGACACGAGATGCCTGTAAGAAAAAAACTGAAGCAAACTCTTGTTTTGGTGAGTGATTCTTATTTTTTGGATGGGACCAAACCAGTCACAGCCTGTACGTGGGAATAAGCAAGCCACATTATAAAGGGTTTAAATTAATTAAGCAAAAATTGAAACTGTGAAATCAGATATAAAGATGTATTTTATACTATCAGTATATTCATATATCTAGTTAAAATGCACTAAAACTTTTTTTGTTTTTGAAATTGCTCATTTTTTTGAAAATTGTATTAACACATTTAGGAGCAAATAGGATTTTCTTTACAGTACCTACCCTATATCAGGAGTTTCTTGTGCTGCTGTGCTACTCTACCACCACTGAAACACCATCAGTGCACATCACTTATATTTGTGTGTGAATTTCATAGATTAAGCCATCTGTTGCTAGTAATTTTCAAGTTAAATTTTTTTTTTTAGCCCTGGAAATTTTCATCTTTTTCTTCTCAGTTTCACCCATTCACACTAAAAACACATCAATCAGGGAAGACTAAAGAAGGAGTTAACAAAGACTGTCAAAAACCTCCACTACGCTTCTACGGGGCAGAGAAAAAAAACTCTCATCTTGTATATGAGGAAAACCTAAGTCTCAGGGATACCCTAAAATCGTTAGGAATCCCCTGTAAGCAACAGAAGAAAAGGATTTTCAGAGTTTTAGTCATGAACAGTAGCTGAATGAGTCTTCAAGTGCTATTCATTAGTGTTTTATTAAGAGTTCTGGACAACAGTTTTGGTATTTTTGTTTTGTTTTCTTTTGTTTGTTTTTTTCCACCCACATGAATGGGTTTTAAGGTGTTTTAGAATGATATTTACATCAGACCCTCACCAAAGTTTATTTACTGGCAAGGCTGGTTTTCCTACACACTTGTAGGAGTGGCTTAAGTGAAAGTTGATAGAAGTCCTGATTAGCAGTTGATCTGCCTAGAATGAATTGTGTGTGTGTGTGCGTGCGTGTGTGTGTGTGTGTGTGTGTGTGTGTGGTGCGTATCAGTCTTGGTCAGCTGCACTGACAGAGCTGGGCAAGATATTTTCCTGCCTGTTAATCAGGGCCACACAGACAAAGCTCAAGGAAGGATGACCCCTGCCTCAGGAAGTTTTGAATCAATTGCTATTTATAACCAGTATGGAGTAGAGCTTGAGGTCAGGTCTTCACTCATTCAGTAGGAAAAGTTTTCTGCCAAATTTTGCATTTGAGGAAATAGTTTATGGGCCTAACTAAGTGAAGCCTGTATGTGAAAGGAAGGAATGTGACGATGACTGTAAGTATTTTTGCTGATTTGGGTCATGGGTATGGCAGCAGAGATGTGGGAGGTTCAGTCAGTGACACAATAGGTTGCATTTTAAAGCAACCCAGGTGGCGTAGTGGTTAAGCGCTATGGCTGCTAACCAAAAGGTCAGCAATTCGAATCCACCAGGTGCTTCTTGGAAACTCTATGGGGCAGTTCTACTCTGTCCTATAGGGTCGCCATGAGTCGGAATTAACTCAACCACAGTGAGTTTGGTTTTTTGTTGTGGTTGTTGTTTTAGTTGTTAATGGGCACCTTGGATATAATGTGTATGGAATAATGTGCATAATGTGTATGGAATCCTGTGCTGCTAATAGTAAAATTGAAATGAGAGTATGAGCTAATATTATTTATCAACATAAAAAAAGAAGAGGGAAGTTAACTGTTGGTGTGTTTCTGGACTACTGGCTCTTGCTGGAATGTATACGTAAACATTTTGGTCACTTGAGATGTATTTCTGTGTATGTATGCTTTTTATACTGCTCCATTGGTCCTTGTTTCATTAAGAGAAAGTTTCATAAAGAATTTATTAATTTAAAAATAACATTGTAAACTGCTATGTATAATCTCTTACAAAATTCTATTCCACCTAACTCTAGGAAATTAAATATAGCAGAATATTAAAGCTAACAACTTGAGAAATACCACAAGCAGTGTTTTCTCAGTATTATTATATCTGTCATCTTAGGAGTGCCTTTATAGAGTTGAGTTACTTAATAGATAACAGGTATAATTTTATATATGCATTGTAAATGAACTGTTTAGGAATAGGTGGGCAGTGTTTTAGTGGAGTTGAAATTGGGAAATTATAGAACTATGCTAATACATTCTTGTCTCATTTTAATAGGAATATTCAAGATAAAGCTGTAGCAGTTTTCAGCAAGGATCAATGATCAAAATTTTTACTTTTAAAAAGAGATTTACAAGTTAAAGATGAAAGGAAAATACTGGAATGGTTTGGATTCTAACTGACAGGATAAAGGATACAGTATTTCACAGTTACTTGTAATGGAAACTGTGTAAAATTCATCACTTCTCATGGACCCAACAGGGAACATGGATGTTGGTTTTTCTCGTTCTGCTGTTCAGACACTGTCGAGAAGCCACTGTAAAAACATCAAACAAAAAATTTCTCACTGGGAAGGAAGGACAAATGGTATATCTAATCCAGATAAGTGGTGTCCAAAGGACTTTGGAGTGAGATACAGCTGTCACCAGGAGATTCTTCCCAAGAAAAAACTTGTTGCGGAGGGAAAGAGTAAAAATTTAGATGTAACCAACACTCAAAATGTGGGATTAGATCTGAGGAAAGATGCCAAAAGCTGCAATCAAAGTGAGGATGAAAGTGAGAAACATGAATCTAATGATACACGTTTCTTCAAAAATGAACTGGAAACCAAATGGGTATGTTCTCGGGTCAAACAAATTGAAAGCTGGAAAGAAGTTGTTTTAGACCCAGAAACTTCATTACCTCCAGGAAACTTGTATACCTCACAAATATTGTGGAAGAAAATAGAAGCACTTCCCCCAGATAAAGTCTTAAATTTGGCTTTAGAACATTGTGACTCTTCAGAAGAAGAAGCGAATTTCAAAGCTCTGGGTAGTTCATATGGAATGACCAAGAGCTTAGAAAATATTTACTCTGAACCTGAGGGGCAAGAATGTGGACCTTCTATAAATCCTTTGCCAAAACCTCGTAGGACATTCAGATATTTATCTGAATCTGGTATTACACCATGTAAAGAAAGAAACTGTGACAGAAAATACTGTGAAAATAATTCTTGTGCAGAATCTTCTTTTGCTCCTTCTCAGGAACCTGAACCAAAGAAATATGGTGGAAAAATCAAAGGGAGATCCAAAAGGTATGCTTTTATTCTGTAGCTAATGATTTGTAGGTATTTTATTTGTAGGATTATTGAGCTTCTTTTTCCTTTTCAAATCAGTCCCTGTACCATTTTCCTCCTAGAGTTATAGCCCTAGTTTGAAGTTACAGATGTTGAATAACTCACAGGGGAAATAAGCAGAGTAGGAAAAAGTAGAAGCATAGGAAATAGTGAGGAGCCTTGGTGACTTTATGGGGAAATTCTACTCTGTCCGAGGGATTGCTATGAGTCAGAATTGACTCGATGGCAACGGGTTTGGTTTTTTTAATAGGAAATAGCTAAGACAGTCTACTGATATAGGAACGTCAGAAAAACTTCCATTTTATATCTTTAAGAATCTTTAGGGAAACAAGTACATTCTTGCACTTCATTCAGGGCATGCTGGCCTTAGCCCCATTCTTTATGAGGGAGTAAACTTAATAAAGGAACCGAATGAAGAATATGAATGTGATTGGCTAAAAGCCTCCAGTTTTCTCATTGTACATATAGGGAACCAGCCTAGTTTATTATTCTTAGGTATCTGATAAAAACACCTTTGTAATCTTGTTCATAAGTCCATTAATTATCAATTTATGTTTACCATACTAATGTAAAGATGAGAGCTTTGAAAGACATGACTTTAAAATTTATTTCCTTTCATAAGGAAATCCTTTGAATTTGAGGATATTCAGCACTTTCGAACTCGTAACACACAGAAGATTCATGAAGAACTTGGAAGAAATTCTGGCTCAGCACTTTATTACACACAGTCTGAGGACAGTATCTATGAGGATATCATATGTATGTGTCCACAAACTTTGCAATTAAATTTAATGAGTATGTACTTGGTGACCCTTAACTGTAAGATGGTATTTTCTTTTACAATCAAGAATATTTTGCTCTAGATTTTCTTTTTAATATGGAAATCTTCAGTGTATAGTATCTTTTGTTCTTTAATAGATCTTACAAATAGTGTAATGAATTACTCATTTCAGAAGTAGATGTTTATAGTATAATCTTTTGAGAATTCTTTTAGCTCAGTGGAACTTCTGATTAATTTATAAGCATACAGTGCCATTGATTTTGATATCCTTCTCCCTACAGCAAGGTAGAATAAGAAAACTGAACATATTTAGTCAGTTTTTTTTTTTTCCTTTTCTAGCTCTGGTCACTTTGTTTCCATTTTATGTTCCTCTAAATTTTTTTTTCACTATTTTTCCAGATCCTGCCAAAGAAAATCCATATGAAGATATTCCAGTACAGCCTTTACCCCTGTGGAGATCCGTTTCAGCATGGAAGCTACCACCCCCTAAAAGTGCTTTCAGAACACCCAAGGTATGACCAGTCAATTAATTGAAGAAAATATTAGACTCTAATTAAATCCCTACAAAAGGGTTAAGATGATTTAACTGGGGCCAAAGTCAAGAGGCACTGAGTGTGGTTTTTTTGGTTGTTGGTGTTAGTTTTTTGTTTTGTTTTGTTCTGCAGTTTTGGGGCAGCACATAGTTTTTTGTTTTCTTTAGTTTTTTTTTTTTTTAAGCACTTAGTTTTTTAATTTGAATATGAGCACCTTTAGATACAGCATGAACTTTTCAGTTCACTGTGGCTCCCACAACTCTTTATTAATTTCCTATCTAGCTGTGGCCTAAATTACCTGCCTGGCCCTGAAAGCATCCGTGACCCCTGAAAGCAAAGACTCCCTTGAGTTAATGAGGACTGTGAGCCATTGTTTTCTGGGAATTTGATTACATTGTAATAGAAGAATTTTGGATTAGAAACCTGAGTAACTTCTTTAAAAATGGTGAGAAAGAAAGTACGGAATCTTTGTTTGAGTCCATTTTTATAGGAAGAATAAGATAAATATGTTTCTGGGATAGCTTTGACTTTGTATGAGAACACAGGTATAAGCTAGATGACCTTACCCTTACCCCTTACCATGCATCTTCTCCTGTTTTAGCTTCCTCCCAAACCGCAATTCCTTCTCCGGAAAACTATGGAACTGAAGAACTCACAAGTTTATTTACGCTCAAAGCTCACAAAGGATGCCACTTTGCCCATCACTTTAACTGAATGGAAGCTATTCCGAGCTGGAGAAGTTGCAAACAGGAAAAGGAAAAATCTTCCAAGGGTAAGGACTCCAGTAGTTTCATTCTTAGACTCTTCAGCATTTCCATAAATGAGAATAAATAGACTGAAATGAATAATAGGTTAGAACTGACCTACTGGAATTAGAAGATTTGGAAAGCAGCCTTAAGTTTTAAACTTTTGCTCATGCAAGACAAATCCATGAATGGCTTTTGCCAGGGTTTCTTTATGGATTTGGAAAATTGATTTTTAGATGGACTTCATTTCATTTACCTTAGCCCTCATTAGAATCAGTTGCCTGTTTAAAGGAATCCCCAGAATCTCATATAAAAGGGCATTTTACCAAGCTGGGCTCAGCGTCTGTTGTTATTACTACTCACTGACTTACATAATTGCTGAAGTAAATTCAGTTTTGTCCCTGAATTTACAGGTTTTTATTTATGGCAAAGTATATGCCATTAATTTGGGGCAAAAATTTCCATTTGGAGGAAAGAAAATAGAAATCTATTACTTGGGAATAGAAATTACCAGCAATTATACTAAATAAATGACTTCTCCCTCAAAGGAAAAAAGGCAGTAAGTCTGTAAATCATCTAGACTAGAGGTGTAGGGTCCAACATGAAGAAATTGGGGTTACTTATAGAAAGATATATTTTCTTTTAGGAGAGTCATTTAAGAAATTACAGGAAAATATTTTATAAACTCTCTGTCACTTTGTTCTTCTATAATTCAGGATGTTTTCAGGATTGAAAAAATACTGTGCAGGTATCATGCAGCAAAGTGGAAATCAGATCATTTAAATGTTATTCCTTTCCTTAATCCCATCCGACTTAGTTGCATGTATTCATTTAGCACACAATTTTCGTACCTGATTTTAACATTAAACAAAAGTTACAGCTGTTCCTTGGTTTAGTAACTGCTTATTGGTTCCCTGGGAAATATTCTGTTCCATAATTACTTTAATTCATCTGATCTGTTTCCTGCCCCTCCCTCTTTAGTATGTGAAGAGTTAAAGACATACAGTTTTTAAAAAGCACTAAACTGATCTCCCTCAGTGGAAAAAAAAAACCTTTAGCTGTTTCTTCTCCTGTGTATGATGAGAAATATATTTAAAAAATCAGAGGTTTAAAGAACCGCGAGGCATCCACAGTAGCTCTCCACTCCTGTGGATCATGCTGGCACAATAAAGCAGCCTCCCACATGGCCCAGAAACACATCCATGTGTTCACAGGAGGAAGAATATAAACACATAAGGGGTTGCATTTAGATGTGGCTTTTAGAATAGCATTAACAAATATTTAAGAATTATGGATTGTAGGGTTTAATGAGACCCAAGGAGATTTTGGAGTGCTTTTGACTTCATGCCTCAGTATTTTATGTACTGTGGATCTCCTAAATACTTGAAGCCTGTTCCCGCTCTGATTATAGGAGGTATAATCCAACTTTTCCTTTTCTAGTATTCTCCCAAAAGTTTTTTGAGGACTGGGGAGAAAGAAAATGGTGATGAACTCTTGATTGTTGGGCAGGAACAGACTGTTAGCATTTCTGCCTGTGATCCTTCTTGGATTAAATTCTTTTATTATATTCCATATGCAATACAAATTTTGGCTTTGGAGTATCTTCAGGAACAATATTCCACAAGAAAAATATTTTTCATTTATTTCCCTTTTGATGACTAGAGCTATCCCTGGAAGGGAAACTGCTTTCATAGTTTGAAAATCACTGATCTAGTCCATATGCCTCTTCCCCACCCTTCCTTTCTCTCCCTGCTGTGGAAGCCTGTGTGGGATTGTTTGCTAGAGTAGGTTTCCTAATGTTTTGTATTGTTTTTGTCAAGTATCTGCAACAATATGGTTTCTGTCGTTTCTTAGGAAGAATATTCTTCAGTATTTCCTACAGCTAGAAAGTACATGTAGGCTTTTGTTCCCAGTTCATGATGTAAATTTAAATTTTATTATCTTATCTCGTATTTCTAGAATACATAGTTCCCTTTCCTTTATAATATTTGAGTGTACTTTTCAAATGCACATTAATAACTATGCTATCTTTGGTCATAAAGTACTTAAAATACATCCTTACCCTCATAGATCTTTTCTTTAGCCTATAACAGTATCTTTTTATTCTGGATTCTCTTGTTCTTTGTAATGGTAATATATAAGAATGTTAGTGATTTTCTACTTGAATGGCAGCTTCACAAAATCTTTAAAAAAAAACTCATCCAAAAGTGTGGGAATAATCTGCATATTGGAAGCACATGTTTCTCACATGTTTTTTTGCTTGCACTGGATTGATTCACTACCTACTAATTGCCACGATTGCTAGAGAAACAAGGTCAAAAGAGAAAACAAGAACAGTTGTCTTAAGAAACTTTGTTAGTTACCGTCTTATATAATGTTCCTAAGAGTTGTAATTCTAGGCATTAAATATGTTAAGTCAAGATGAATAGTTAAAAAAAAAAAAAAGCTTAGAATTTTAAGAAAAATGGAAAAACTAATAAATCAGTTCCTCCTTTTAAAAGTATTTGTTGATCAGCTCTAATTCTTTCCTCTTTTTTACCCCAGCTCAGTCTGTCTGCTTTGCTCTCTTGTTCCCTCCCCATCCCTTCCTCTCTGTCTCTGACACGTACACACCCCTCCCAGCAGCAAAGAAAGAATTCTAATGAGTAAATGCCTATTAATAGAGAGAAGCAATTATGTAATGATTTAAAAATGAATGGCCTGGGCTCTACTTGCTTGAGATACAGATGATGAGAGGAAGAAAAAAAAAACAGGGTTTTTGTACTTGAGCATGTTTGAGAGTCTCTTATTTTTGTGCCATGTTTCTAAAATAAATTGTAATGTTAGTGTTCCCAGCAGCAAAGTCATGGGTATTCCCTTTGACAGAAACTTTTTAAGAGTAATTATCCTCTTTATGAAGAGTTCCTGCGAGCAGAAATAACTGAGCGTCATCCTGCCTTCCAGTTCAACTCTGTCATATACGGTCACTATGAGTCGGAATCAACTTGACGGCAGTGGGTTTGGTGTTTTGTTTTTTTTTTTAATCCTGCCTTCCAAGTGAATGAGTGTTCCACTTCCTACTCTGGGCAAGCAAAAACTTGAGTTTGATGGTAAAGACTTGGTCACTGTATGGAGTGCAGTAGACAGATGTCCTGCATGTTGTGACATGGAGTAACAAAGAATCTCTCAAAGAGCCTGGCTGAGTTCTTCTGGAAAGAAGATTATCCTTTCCCACTTTCTTACCCATGTTACCTGGACTTTGTATTAGAATAACTTATTTAAATAAAGAGCATCATTTTGGATTCAAAATTGAAACTTTTTAAATGTTTTCATTTCTAAATAGGTCTTTTCTCTGAATGAGAATCACTAATACATTAATATCAACCTGCAAAACTTATGGGTGTTGGTTTTAACTTGTCCCTTCTGGTCTTCCCTTCAGTTTGTGTTGAAAATAGACGACATATTTGAATCTAAAAGAGGAAAGAAGAGGGTAAAGTTATACCCTTACACTGGGAAAGAGGTACCTCCCTCAAAAGGTAAGGGTTGTGTTTTGTTCCAGCTCTCCTTAGCTATCAGCGTATAAGGAGAGTCATTACATAACTAAATGTTTGATGTGTATTATAATTTTTTGTTTACTGTTGTTACATTTAAATATAAACTTCTTTAGGATAAGGGCCATTTCTGATTCTTCCTCATATGCCTTTTATTTAGTTCTGTTCCATGTAATGACTATTGGATGGATAAGTAAATAAATGGAAAAATAATGATAAACAAGAGCTGATTTTTATAGGTAGATTGCGTCATTGAGGAGCCCTGGTAGCACAGTGTTTAAGGGCTTGGCTGCTAACCGAAAGGTCCACAGTTCCAACCTACCAGCTGCTTTGTGGGAGAAAGATGTGGCATTCTGCTTTCTGTAAAGATTACAGCCTTGGAAACCTTATGGGATAGTTCTCCTCTGTTCTATAGGGTCACTATGAGACAGAATCAACTAAATGGCAATGGTTTAGATTGTATCATTTTATGGTCCTATTTTGATTTATAGTCATTGATTAGCATAGATTCTTTCAATGAAGAAAATTAATACATTTAGTATATATAGACTGAAGGTATGTGTGACTCAACTTGTCACCTAGTTAAGTTGAGTAGTTTTTACCCTCCAGATGCCTGGATAAAGCTTACATTGTCTTAATTAAGAAACTCTCACCATCCACAGTGTATTATTAGAATTTTCTTAAAACTCATGTGAGATTCTTAACTTGGTTGTCTGGGAAAGAATATTTAAAATTTGGCAGTTTTAGGACATAAGATTCATAAGGAATCTTGAAAGAGTCTATAATGAGAAACAACAGCAAAGTCATACCAGAGGGGAATGTTTCTTATTTTCTGCAGACTTCCAAAGACAGACATTTCTTAACTCCCCTTGAAAATCTGTTCTTTTTTCTGAAACTTACTCTCAGAAAATAAGATTTTCTGTTCTACAATTTAAGATTCTTTCTTCTTACTCTGTGGTGATTAAGACCAACTGACCACCATCTTAAATGTGAGTTTTCATATTTTCAAAGACAATTATTAAAACATGTTTCAGTCTTCTCTGTAGAAGAAATATTTTTCATTATTGTTCTTAAAATCGCTCCCATTTATTCCATGAAGTAATAGTTTCTTAACATACTTTGTCTTGTGTATAACATATGGCAACGCTAGGAGACAGGGACTATCCTAATTTTACAGATGAAGAAGCTGAGCCATAGATTTGAATCAAGGAGCATGGTGCCACTAAGTCGTATCTTTTTCTGTCACCAACAGTTACTCTCACTTTTTCTCATAGCTTTGATTTTCAACAGTTGAACTGTCTCCTCTCCACACGTTTCCTAATCTTCAACAAGGGTATTGTCAAAGGCTTTTTGTTTGTATAATTCAGAACTAGGTACAGAAAAGGAAAACTAATGCCAGATATTGTGCTGGATCCTTTCAGATGCATTATCATTAATTTTCTATATAGTCCTATGTGGCAGATATTATTGTCATTGTTTTATAGATAAGGAAATAAATTATAAACTGCAAATTTTGTGAAATATTAACACACTGGGGTCAGGACAAATTCTTGTAAAATATTAATTGCATTTTTCTAGATTAACAGTAGCCTGTTGATAATTACTCTCCAGGTATGCCCCTTTAAATAATCAGATTATTGCCGACTCCTTATTTTATTTGTATGTTTTATTCCTTATAGAATAGGAATATTTTAGTGAATTTGGCTCTAAGACAAGTTTTTTAAGAGCCAAATCCTTTTTCCCTCATTGACTTGTATCATTATTAAAAAGAAGAAAAAAATACATCAATCGCCTGAGTTGCCAACTTCTAGCATCAAAAAAAAAAAAAACGACCATTCCCTAAATTGTAACTGTTCCCCAAAGGTTTGTTTTTCCTTTGCATGGCTCAAAGAAAATACTCATTCACCTATTGTCAGTTACCAACTCCTCCAGTGGACCAGAGGAGTTTCTCTCATGCCTGAGAATCTTCTGACTTCATAATCACAATTCTCAACTTTATGTTTTCCTCCTTAAGTTTTTGTCTGTATATCAACAATACGTAGTAGAACTAGATCATTGTAGTTACCTACTCTGTCACTACATGCTAGGATTTACTGGCTATATTCCAACCTAAATATTTCTTAACTTTCAGTTATCAGGTAGTATTACAAAATTATTTATTGCCCTTCTTCTGTTCTGTTATTATAATTTTGTGTATTGAGTCATATATAAAAAGGGACACCCAATTCGGAAAAGGACAGTGATAATATTTGCAAACGTTATGAATGCAATCGACGTCACTGAATAATACATGTAAAAATTGTTGAATTGGCAAATGTTTTGTTAGGTGTATTTTTACCACTATTAAAAAAAAATTTTTTTTTAAATGTGATAGCAGAAAAAACAAACAACAAAAAAGAACACTGCAGTATTTTTTAATCCATACAGATTCTCAACAGATTTCCCTATTGGCTCATAACCTCTTAACTGTCATTCAGTGTCTTGGAATGCAAGTCATCAAAACCTGTAGATGTGAATACATTAACACCATTTAAATGAGCTCTTATAAGGTCTTTCCTAGTTATATTGCCTTTCCTCCTTTTCCTCTTTCTTTTCTTTCTTTCCAGACACTTCATAAGCTCTTAAGAGGTGGCTAGTGCTAGGGTTAGGAGCCCTGGTGGTGTAGTGATTAAGCACTTGGGTTTAACAACCCAAAGGTCAGCAGTCGGAACTCACCAACCACTCTGCGCTCTATGGGAGCAAAGACCTGACAATCTGCTTCCGTAAAGATTAAAGCCTAGGAAACCCAATGGGGAAGTTCTGGTCTGTCATATAGTGTCACTATGAGTTGGAGTTGACTTTATGGCACACAACAACAACACTGCTAGAGATACAAATAAGAGTAAGAAGCTCACAGTCTTTGTTTATCCTTCTGAACAATATTTTATAGCCCCAGTATATTTTTTTGACATGGTAGTTAGTTTGAAGTTATAAAACCTATATAGTATATAATATTTAAATAGCTACTTTTTCTGTAACAACTCTTATGTACCTTTTCTACCTGTCTTAAGAAGAGGCAGCATTTCTTTTAATGTTCTTATTCCTTATTACAAAGTTAAAAAGAGCACAGTAAGAAATTGCAATAATATAAATATAATATAAATACAAGATAAAATGAAAAGCCATGGCTTCCAAAACTTCCTCCCAGGACCCCCAGAAAATTTTGTATGCATGCAAATACATTTTCCGTGCAAATATTCTTATACTTATTATAATACTATTACTTATTCTTATACTATTATTCTTATACAAATATTCTTATACTTAATATACTTCGCTTTTTTTTTAACTTAATATAGTTTGGAGTTCTTTCAGTATCAACGCATAAAGATATACATTGTTTTTAGGTGCTGTTGAGTCAGTTCGGACTCATAGTGACCCTGTGTACAACAGAATAAAACACGGCCCAGTCCTGTGCCATCCTCACAATCTTTGCTATGTTTGAGCCCGTTGTTGCAGCCACTGTGTCGTTCCATCTCATTGAGGGTCTTCCTCTTTTTTGCTGACTCTCTACTTCACCAAGCATGATGTCCTTCTTCAGGGGCTGGTCTATCCTGATAACATCCAAAGTATGTGAGATGAAGTCTCGCCATGCTTGCTTTTAAGGAGCATTCTGGCTGCACTTCTTCCAAGACAGATATGTTTGTTCTTCTGCCAGTCCGTGGTATATTCAATATTCTTCACCAACACCATAATTCAAAGGTGTCAATTCTTTTTCGGTCTTCCTTATTCATTGTCCAGCTTTCACATGCATATGAGGCAATTGAAAATACCATGGCTTGGGTCAGGTACACCTTAGTCCTCAAAGTGACATCTTTGCTTTTTAACGCTTTAAAGAGGCCTTTTGCAGCAGATTTGCCCAGTGCAATGTGCTGTTTGATTTCTTTTCTTCTGCTTCCATGAGCATTGACTGGATCCAGGTAAAATGAAATCCTTGACAACTTCAAACTTTTCTTCATTTATCATGATGTTGCTTGTTGGTCCAGTTGTGAGGATTTTTGTTTTCTTTAGACTGAGGTGCAATCGATACTGCAAACTGTAGTCTTTGATCTTCATCAGTAAGTGCTTCAGGTCTTCTTCACTTTCAGCAGGCAAGGTTGTGCCATCTGCATGTAGCAGGCTGTTAATGAGTCTTCCTCCAATCCTAATGCCACGTTCTTCTTCATATAATCCAGCTTCTCAGATTATTTACTCAGCATACAGATTGAATGAGTATGGTGAAAGAATCCAACCCTGATGCACGCCTTTCCTGACTTTAAACCAGGCAGTATCCCCTTGTTCTATTTGAACAACTGCCTCTTTTTCTATGTACAGGTTCCTCATGAACACAATTAAGTGTTCTGGAATTCCCGTTCTTCCCGGTGTTACTCATAATTTGTTATGATCCACACGGTTGAATGCGTTTGCATAGTCTGTAAAACATGGGTAAGCATCTTTCTGGAATTCTCTGCGTTCAGCCAAGATCCATGTGATATCAGCAATGATATCCCTTGTTCAAGGCCCTCTTCAGAATCTGACTTGAATTTCTGTCTGTCCCCTGTCGATGTACTGCTTAACTGCTTTTGAATGATCTTCAGCAAAATTTTGCTTGTGTATGATATTAATGATATTGTTCAATAATTTCCACCTTCTGTTGGATCACCTTTGTTTGGAACGTGCACAAATATGAATCTCTTCCAGTCAATTGGCAAGGTAGCCGTCTTCCAAATTTTTTGGCATAGACAAGTGAGCACCTCCAGTGCTGCATCCCTTTGTTGTAACATCTCAGCTGGTATTCTGTCAATTCCTGGAGCCTTGTTTTTCACCAGTGCCTTCAGTACAGCTTGGACTTTTTCCTTCAGTACTATCATCATCATCATCATCATGGTTGAATGTTGACCAGTTCTTTTTGGTACAGTGACTCTGTATATTCATTCCATCTTCTTTTGATGCTTTCTGCATTGTTCAGTATCTTCCCCGTAGAATCATTCAATATTGCAACTCAAGGCTTGATTTTTTTCTTCAGTTCTTTCAACTTGAGATATGCTGAGTGTGTTCTTCCCTTTTGATTTTCTAACTCCAGGTCTTTGCACATTTCATTATAATACTTTTCTTTGTCTTCTCAGGCCACCCTTTGAAATCTTCTGTTTAGCCCTTTTACGTGATCATTTTTCTGCCATTCACTTTATCTACTCTACATTCAAGAGCATGTTTCAGAGTCTCTTTTGACCTCCATTTTAGTCTTTTCTTTCCTGTCTTTTTAATGACCCTTTGCTTTCTTCATCTATGATGTCCTTGATGTCATTCCACAGTTCATCTGGTCTATGGTCATTAGGGTTCAGTGCATCAAATCTATTCTTGAGATGGTATGTAGATTCAGTCAGGATATATTCAAGGTTGTATTTTGGCTCTCGTGGACTTGCTCTGCTTTTCTTTAGCTTCAGCTTGAACTTGCATATGAGCACTTGATGGTCTGTTCCACAGTCGGCCCCTGGCCTTATTCTGACTGATGATGTTGAGCTTCTCCATCATCTCTTTCTACAGATGCAGTCCATTTGATTCCTGTGTATTCCATCTGGCAAGGTCCATGTGTACAGTAAACGTTTATGTTGTTGAAAAAAGGTATTTGTAGTGAAAAAGTCATTGGTATTGCAAAATTCTATCATGCGATCTCCGACGTTATTTCTGTCACCAAGGCCATATTTTCCAACTATTGATCCTTCTTCTTTGTTTCCAACTTTCTCATCCCAATCACCAGCAATTATCAATGCATCTTGATTGCATGTTTGATCAATTTCAGACTGCAGAAGTTGGCAAAAATCTTCAATTTCTTCATCTTTGGCCTTGGTGGTTGGTGCATAAATTTGAATAATAGTTGTATTAACTGGTCTGCCTTGTAGGCGTATGGATAGTATCCTGTCACTGACAGCGTTGTACTTCAATATAGATCTTGAAATGTTCGTTTTGACGATCAATGCGATATCATTCCTTTTGGTCATTGCGTGCGTCATAGACCATATGATTGTCTGATTCAAAATGGTCAATACCAGTCCATTTCAGCTCACTAATGCCCAGAATATCAATCTTTATGCATTCCATTTCATTTTTGATGACTTCCAATTTTCCTAGACTCATACTTCGTACATTCCACAATCCGATTATTAATGGATGTTTGCAGCTGTTCCTTCTCATTCTGAGTCATGCCACATCCGCAAATGAAGGTCCCGAAAGCTTGACTCCATCCATGTCATTAAGGTCGACTCTACTTTGAGGAGGCAGCTCTTCCCTAGCCGTATTCTGAGTGCCTTCCAACCTAGAGGGCTCATCTTCCGGCAGTATATCAGACAGTGTTCTGCTGCTATTCATAAGGTTTTCACTGGCCAATTTTTTCAGAAGTATACTGCCAGTTCCTTCTTTCTAGTCTGTTTTAGTCTGGAAACTCCACTGAAACCTGTCCACCATGGGTGACCCTGCTGGTATTTGAAATACCAGTGGCATAGCTTCCAGAATCACAGCAACACGCAAGTCACCACAGTACAACAAACTGACAGACTAGTGGTGGGAGATCCACATAGCTGTACTATATTTCATTGTATGAATGTAAAAGAATTTTATTTAGCTGGAAGATATTTTGGTTGTTTCTAACATTTTATTTAACCTGTGGATATTTAAATTGTTTATATATATTTTGTTTCTTCAAAAAATGCAGCAATATGTTTTTGCTATTTATGAGAATGTATCTATAGACTGAATTCCTAGAAATGGACACACTTGATCAAAGAATATATGCATTTAAAATTTTTATTAGAAGATTCTTGTAAGATCTTTTTACAAAATGATTGTAATAGCTTATGTTCTTACCAACAGCATTTGAAAATGCTTCTTTCCCCATAATATTCACCAATACTGTGTTTATCAAACTTTTTGATTTTTTGCCAGTATGATGGGTGAAATTTTTTGTCTTGTTTATTGTTTTAATTTACATTTCTTTGTTTGTGAATTTGGGCTTTTTTTGTGTTTCTCAACAATTTATGTATCTTTTTATGAATTGCCTATTCCTGTTCTTTATTCATTTTTCTGTTGTGCTGTCTTTTTCTTAATGATTTGTAACAGGTATTTGAATACTAAGAAACTTAGCCTTATATCTGCTATGTATATTACAAATATTTTCCCAGTTTATTGCTCACCTTTTGAATTTATTAATGATATATTTATTAGATAGAAATTTAGTATGTATTATGTTTTTATATAATCAAACTTATGTATATTTTCATTTATGACACTTAAGGCTTTGTTTTTCCTGGTAAATTTAAATGTTTTTCCCTTTCTTTGCATTAGCTTTTCAGATCTAATCTAGAAGTATTTCGTTCATTGATTCAAAAAGCACCTTTTTTTTTTGTAAATTGTCTGTGCGCCCAGCATTGTGTTAGGTCCAATGGTACAAAATGAGTCCCTTGTGAAAACATCACCCCTTATCCTCAAGATACTTAAAATCTGATTGGGGAGAATAAGACCAGCCCAAAGTAGCATGGATACTATGAAGAATTCAGAGTGAAGGAAATATCAGTATAGGCTAGAATTAGCTTAGAAGCATCATGGAGAATGTAGAAAGAATGTTGCTTCATAAACTTATTTGGTAATCTCTCTCAGCTTTCACATTTTCCTGTTATTCTAAATTCACAGGTTAGTCGGTGTTCAGATTTTTGTTTAGCCAGCTTGATGTTGTTCTACCTTTGATACCTTATTTGAAATAAGAGACAAGGATATGAATGTAGAAATAGAAATGTGGTCCACTCTGGACTAGATTTGCATTCTTAAAACTAGTCTGAAATGCCACTAATTTCTATAGTTAAAGATGAGAGGGGAACTGAGGAAGGAAGTAGGATGTCGGAAGAAGATGGAATAAAGTATTTTCTTCTTGGAGCCTTTTATTCTCTTTTGGAAAGCATCCTAACCTGATGTAACTAAGTGATTTGGAGAAAGGCTCAGCATGCTTAATATTATTCCTTATCGCAGGTCCCCAGGTCCATGGAGGCTCTGTGTTGTTCTCATCTTCATATATTTCCTCCTGTTAGACAATACAAATAGAAACTCTTTTCTGTCTTTTCAGGTGAAACCAGTGGGAACGAAAGTGATGCCGAGTATTTGCCAAAGAGTGAGTGAGTCAGTGGGGCTGCACTCTTTCTCGTGATTATCATGGTTATAGGTGGAGTGACACTTACTTTATGATTAAGCATGTTTTTCCCACATGTAGTTTCATTTGTAGGTGAATTTCTTCATTATCAGAACCTGCTGAGATTTGTTAGGGACTAAATAGTGCACTGCCAGATGTTTGACAGCATTAAAATCTCCCATAGTGGAGTAAAGTAAACTTGTATGGTTCTTGGGATGGAATGGTCTTCGGGGAGCGGTGCAGAGCTGCATGTCCAGACATATGTGCAGTAGTTTACCAGCAGTCAAAACAGAGTATATGAATCATCCCGAGACAAATACTAAGCATTAACTACCTGATTTCTCGTAGTCACTCAAGTATAATTATCTAAGTAACTCTGACATCTCTCTAATATAGAAGGAAAATATTCATTTGTTTCTTATTCATCAGCATTTACATGCCAAATTATGATGCTGTTTACTTCTATTAGAGTATGTGAAACAGTGCCGTGCAATTTTGGCTGTATTTGATGTGCTGTACCCTTCATGTAATGACTTTTCACAGCAAGTTATTTAGTTCCTGTTGAACTGACTGACATCTGAAGCATGGGAAAAGTAGGAGACTTGGGTTATCAAAGATGAGCTCGGGGCAGTGCCTAGTCTGACACTCTAATCTTTTCTAGTCTTGTGCTCCCTCCACTGGCCTGAATTGCTTCAGGTGTTTAATTCTGTAGCCCGACTGAAGGTGAAACTTAAATCATCATCAGGTTCATCCTGCATGTGTAAAGATGACTAATTTAGTGCTGTTGGTACCGAGAAATAGTACCTAAAATGTTCTTCAATTGAACTCAGCGTTTGGGAGTAAGTAAGGCTTTGCCTAGAGCAGCAAATGTACTGGATAATTCTGGGGAGCCATAAGGGATATTTACTCCTAGATGTATTTTTTAAGTGTTCTTAATATTTTGATCCATAATGTAACTTCATTTGGGGCAGAATGCATCATATCTCAAAAAGAAAACAGTCAGAGGATGAGTCTTTCAGTCATGGACTCAAAATGACACATAAGCAAAACTCTGGGACATTCGGACTATTTCTTTTGCAAGTACACAGTTTCCTCTAGTGAAGACTGCCCCAAATAGTTCAGATGGTAGAGATAAATGAGAATAGAGGGTAGATGCTATCCAGCCTTGAATAGTATTGCTACACACTGCTTAAAGAGTATGCTTCCATAGTTTCATTCTTTTAAGGAATGTTCTTTTAATAGATGTCTTCTTCCTCTTCAGTTATTTTCCCTCTTGCATTTAGTACAATTTATTGACATAAGCATATACCCATTATTAGTAATATATCCCAAGGAAAGAAGGGAAAAGGACAGTTTTTTACTGTGAGGTTAATTTTTGTCTTAATGTTATCAAATGCTTCCCTTTATACACTTACCTTCTGTGGGACTGTTATCAACATCCCCTAGCCCCTGCCCATGATTTCATGGTCCTAACAATGGCATCTGTTGCCAGCCCAGTGCTTTTTCCTGGTGTTTCCCATGTGTTTTCCATGTGTCCTGGTGTTACGCCATGAAAGATGGCATAGCATAGAGTGTGTAGTGGCACATACTCTATGCTATCCAGTTGGGACCTGAAGTGTCCGTACCGCGACTGACTGGATGCCTGTGAGGGTCTGCACTCATCCCCTGAGTATGTCATAGCCCAAAGAGGTATGTCTATGTGGCAGTCATTAATTTGTCAACATTTATTCAGCAATGACTGCGTGAGGATTAATGCTGAATGGATCATGAACTCTGGATGAGGAAGGAAAAACATTGCTCCATGATTTCATTACAGATCGCCACAAGCGCTTAGCACAACTGCAGCAGGCTTCCAAGAGGAATCCTCACTACCAGACCTTGGAGCGGGACCTTATTGAATTACAGGAGCAGCAGCTGTTTGAACTTTTTGTGGTAGTGTCTCTACAGAAGAACCCATCAGAAAAAGCTTATATTCCCCAGGTCATACAACAGTTCCCTAGCAAGGTAGGTACAAGGAGGCCAAGAGGCCTTCAGGAATGTTCTGGTGTCTCTGTGTGTGTTTATTTCCTCTTCTCTTGTTTAGTGTAATCTCAGCCAGCCTCTACCAATACTGTATTTGTTGGATTTGGTGAATTAATCTGGCTAAATCTTATGTCAGGCATGAGCTGTAACCAACGGGGGACCAAAAAAAAAACAAACAAGCTTTTTTCCAGGTTGTTTTTTAATGTGTTCCAAAACCCACTGCTGTCAAGTTGATTCCAACTCATAGCAACCCTACAGGACAAAGTAGAACTGCCTCATAGGGTTTCCAAGGCCGTAAATCTTTACAGGAGCAGACTGCCACATCTTTCCCCATGGAGTGGCTGATGGGTTCCAACCGCTTTCAGTTAGCAGCCAAGCATTTAACCACTGTGCCATCAGGGCCCCTCAATAATAATAATAGCTACCATTTATGGAGTGCTTACTATGTGCTAGGAATTGCATTACCCGTTGCCACCAAGTCGATTCTGACTCATAGCACCCTAACTGCCCCGTAGGGTTTCCAAGGTGGTAAATCTTTACAGAAACTGAGTGCCACATCCCTATGGGGCAGTTCTACCCTGTCTGTAGGGTCACTAGGAGTTGGAATCTACTCAGTGGCAATGGATTTGGCTTTTTGTTTATTTGTTTGCTTTATTATTATTAACAATATTATGCAGTTTTGCTCTGCCTTTTTCGAACAATCATTCATTCATTCCTTTAACCATTAAGTATTTATTAAATATCTACTATTTGCTAGGGCTGGGTACCGGGGATACAGCTTGAAAAGATCTTATTGGTCTCTCCCTTCACAGAGCTTATAACATAGGCCCCACATGTGGCTCTGAGCTTTGTAGAGACAATTACGAAGACAGAAACTTGATTCTTACATCACGGTTTGCAAACTGATGGCCTGTGAGCAAACTGAGCGAACAGACATGCTTTTTTGGTTTGCATAGTGTTTGTAAAAAAGTAATAATACATTTTGTTGCTAGTGTTTAAAAATCATTTTTCACATAAACTCTGTTTCTACCTTTTCTTGAGAAAGTGTAAGGATGGCCAACACCTGACCCATTCCTAATTGGCAGCAGTTGGTGGAAGCTGAGTAAGGAGCAGGGCTGGCTTCGTGGGCATGTGACCAGTGCAGTCACACAGGGCCCCACTCTCAGAAGGGCTCTGCTTGGGGTTTAATGCTCTGTAGTCACTGTCTCAAAATTCTTAATTTTATCTTTGAATCTGTGTTTTGTAAGTGAAGTCTGATTGGACAATGGGACATGTGCTGGGTCTTAAAGCCTCAGTTCTCATGTGGTCCCAACTCCTGCTGCCTTACAGGATGAGTCCTCTGGCTGCCCTTTCCCCTGCCCCCTGCTGTCCCGAACCCTGATCAGCCTCCCCCTCCCACCCTTGGTCAGTGACTCCTGCCACCCTCTGTCCCCTTCAGGGCCCTGGATGTGGTCATGGGAAGGGGCTGAATCAGGCAAGCACACATTGCAGTGAGTTCAGGCAGGGCATGGCTGTGACCCTCTCTGCCCTGGGCTGGCAGTGCCATGGAATGTTCAGTGGGTAACTTGAAGGGGGTGGGGAAGGCAAACCTCTCAACCAACCCCAATCCAGATAATAAAGCGCATTCCCGCGTGGAGGTTGCACTTCCTTGGAGGTTGCCCAGCTGCCATGTGTTGGTGTGGCAGGCCCATGAAAAGGGGAGATGCCTGGCTCAACTTCCCCACTCCCACTCAGAACACAGAATATCAGTCCTAAGGCTGGCTGGAGGGGAAACCAAGCCGTTGGGCTGCATGTGTGCCACGTCCCTGGGGCTCCTGGGTGTCTCTGAGGGTCTGCTGCATGCATCCTCCAAGTATCTTTGTGCTTGAGGGAACACATCATTTAAATAGCAAATAAAAACCTGATTACAGGTTGAGAGAAAGACTACAGAGGAAAGGAAAGTTTTCTATTTTATTTTATATTTAATGGCACTTTTTTGGGAGGAACAAGGGGCCCCACATTTTCATTTTGTACTGTGCTCCAAAAATTATGTAGCAAATTACCTTGGTGAGTAGTGTCTGGGGTCTTAAAAGCCTGTGAGCGGCCATCTAAGATACT